CAGAAAGTAGCAAGCATTCACTTGGATGCATCCACTTCACCCATTTTTGGGTGAACCAGAACGAGCGGAGTATGGTCAATTTGCCAGACCCACCCGTAGGCACGGAGGGTGTGGCCTGGCTACACGAGACTAGGTATATAGTATCTATGGTTCAATGGACCTTTTGCACTTAAGCGATTCTAATTAACGCGCACCCGAAATGGTGGTAAAATGGCGGATTTTTGGAGGAAAGACAGGCCGAACAATCTTCTCTTTTATCCAGCCATTCTAGCTGTAAGAGCCACTTTGAGCTGTCCTTTTGTTTCAGTATACTCTATTTATCTCTTCTGTAAGCTCTTTGGTTGCTGTTTTGGCTTTTATAGCATTTTATCATAGGAATATTCTCATCCATTGGCAATTCCCGTTTTTCTAAATTTTGCTTTCAGGAGCCAGGGCGCTTGCCCCTCCATTGCCATGAAGACAGAAGTGTATTCAGCTGAGTCCTATGACTAGTGTCTATCATCAGACTTAGTCTCAGTCCATCAGAACCAGGTACGATGGAATAACTCACTCAGTTGTCATGTTGCAGCTGGAGTGTGGATGATTATGACCATCTTTTCACTTCTTAAAACTATAGGATTAGTCTTTAATCACATGTAAGAAGGATTCCAAGGAACATAAGTGTGCTGGAATAGCTCAGCATCATGTAACTAGCTCTTAATAGTGACGTCTAGTATGAAGTAAAACACTTCCATCGTTACATGATTTTAATATTTTATTTATGATAAAATTGATGTTAATTACAATAATTATCTTTGTTATCGTCAAGATAGTTTCTAATTATTGTGTATATACTGTTAGTATCATAAAGTATGAGTAAATACATTAATAGTCGTCTATACAAATGCAATATAGTGACCTAGTGATAACAACAATAATAGTTCTAGCAACAACACCCATAATGTTTTTTTTATAATTTAAATAATAAGTAAAACTGTTGGGAGAGGATACAAATGGTGTAGAGCCATGAACGAGTC